CCCCTCTGCACTCCCCCTGCTTTTGGCCGGTTTGCCCGAACTGGTAGTAAAAAAAGCTTAACAAAGTAAAAAAAAGTTCCGACTATCAGCTGTCCTGCACAATGGTAGGAACTGCTCAGATTCACTTTTGGGGCATTGGGCAGCCTTGGTGAGTCTAAAGGAGTGCAATCTCATGCTCCTTCAGGCTTCTGTCCTCTGAACCAAAAGCTTTTGCAAAAGGGACGGACACCTGAAGGAGTGCAAGATTGCTCCACTGAAGGCTTCCATCCCCTTTGCAAAAACTTTCGTGTGGAGAACAGAAGCTCCTCTGCAGACTTCCATTCCCCATGCCAAAAGTCTTTTGCAAAGGAGACAGAAGGATGTGTAAGAACACAGGATCTAATGAAAACATCTTCACCATCGTCTGAGAAGGCGACCACTTTTCTGCCACACGGCCCTGACTCTGCAGATGTTCGAAAGGTAAATGAGTGATCGGTGACAAGATGGGGAGGAGCCAGTGGGCTAGCATAGCAGATCCAATGCCTGTTATGTCCCTGTGGGTGGGTGGGGGAATAGGCAGGGGGAATGTTGCAGTGTCTCTGTGGTTGGTCGTAAGGGTGAACGCAACATGTGCTGTAACATTCGTAACTCCGGGACTGTATCATGAGTACTTTGGGGGATGGTGTCATAACTTTGAACCATCGCTAAGTGTCCTATCATAACTTGAGGACTACCTATAATGTTCTGCCCATTATATTACCAAGAAAAAGTGGCAATTCTAGAAATAGAATTGGTCTTACTAAGTTTTAATTAAGTTTGGGAGGTACATCATAGTCAAAACTAGGATATACTAGTAAAAACAAAATAAATCATAAAGCTTCATAGTACTTTTCATTATCTCTTCAGCTTAGCGAGTTCCCTACAGTTTTCAAAAGTGACACATGAAAAACTATTTCCACATTTCCTCTTTCCAAAAGGGAACAAACTAAAGATATGAACTGGTTCAAAGTAGTTATAGAAATCAATAAACCCATTTATGTACAAACTTCTCATTTCAACATCATACCTGTTCCAGCTGTTTCTTTTATTTGCCTCACCAACTGTGTTATCACACTAAGACTGTGGTCTTCAGCCAGGGTCAAAGCAATCAGGACACTGGGATCAGGTTTAATCTGTAGGCTGGCACAATTTTCCAGTTGAGTTTGGAGGCCTCTAACCAACCATTGCTGATCACTCGGGACATCTAGAACAAAGACACCAGAGGTTTACCAAGAACAGCACCTGTTCCTAGAGAACTCTGATGAAGCTTGTCAACAGAAATGCACTTCAGCCTCAGAAATTGTCTCTATTATTTTTTTCCTTCTGCATTGGTAGCGTTTGGGGCTCTTGCTCTTTTTTTGCACACCAAAATTTTTGTTCACTAGTGAGTTCTGTAATTATAATACGGATAACTTCAAATTCTTTATATATGTCATGCACGATCCATACAACTGAATTGTTAATATTCATGTCGCAGACTTGTTATTCATAAAGGTATCAAGATCTCTGTGAATTTATCTGCTTTTGGGCAAAAACATTGCACATGAACTTTATCACTGACTGTGAGCCAAAAAAACAACAACACTATTTAGTTATCGGTATACATTTAATTTTCCCCCCACTTTTGTTTCTCACTGTACTTCTTTTTTTTCTATTGAGGCTATATACAATTGTCTGAGCCTCACCTTCAGCTATGAATGTGGATATTTTGCTAAACTACAACTAAGGGATTGGATCCTAGCCAAAATTGCCATCCCACATACTCTCGTGCAAGGTTTTGTCACAGTTAATGCAATCAAACTTACTCCTCTCTTGCTCTATTTAAGCTGAACTGACTTATGGAAATCAATTGCAGAAGATACAATACATACAAGTTTAAGTGCCATTATTTTCAGTAGGAATACAGATCAAGTAAGTGAACTAAATTAATCCAGTTCAATACACGTGAAGCATTTTTGCTCAATGAGGCACTAAGCATTTGATTTTTTGTATATCATCTTCTGAGGGGCTACTTTCCTATTCTCTGTGTCTTCTACTGACTCACTGTGATCAATGAAGCAAATGAAGTTATAGTTATGGATCAGCCGGTGATGGTGGTGGGACTTAGATAGGTTGCTGGTCATTATCTCTAAACAGCTGCTTTCCCAACTTCCTTCTGTCACTTCATATATTCTTTTGATAATATTGTTGAAAATTATCCCATCGACACTCATTGGTGTGCATATTATAGCAACACTGGCATTTGGACGGCTATTAGTTTAGGAAAGGTTGCACTATGATTTTATTGCATTCCAGATCATATCAACAGCACAAAAGGAGATAAACCAGTTTCTGCATCATACTACTTTATTTTTCTACATACAGAAAGTGATTATTTAGCTCTATAAATCTGTATAGAAACTATTTGTGTGTTCAGAAAGCTAATGTGCATGCTGACTTGGAATGTTAGCTCTGCAGTTCAATTAGGTGGGAATCATATGAGAGAAACCATCCTCAGCATGTCTTGTTTTTATTAAGAAGATTGAGAAGATTTGGGTAGGGCACAGTTTTTCAGTTTCATCATTAATGAGGAATGGAGAACAGAAACTGGCAGTCATGATGGCTTAAGTTCACAGTTCAGTTACAAAACTATTTCATGAAAGAAACTTGATCCAGCCTAAGCACCCTCGACGCATCAATATTTTATTCAGTGCACAAACATTTGAAATGTTTACATACATTATCTAGGGTTGGGCAAAGAGACATTTTGCACAGTATATTAGTGCAAATGTAGCACTTCCTTTTGAATCGTTAAAACAACTGGGTCCTTGGCGAAGTGCAGGGGGCTGCTGCAAAAGTTCGTTCTAGCTGTCTTATGTGCACTGCAGACATTTTTGGTGAGGCTGTCAGTGAAATAATGTGACTGCATGAGCATATGGAGACTCTCAGTGATAGCCTTTGAAACATTTACCCGAGCCTTGGAAAGGACAGCTGCAAAGATGGGCTTTCAACTGTGTAAGAGACCTACTGCCACTTAAATATAAGCAAACCCTGCCCCTACTTGATCACCGTGACCAACCCATTTGGAGATCTCCAAATGTGTTGGACTATAACTCCTTCAGTCAAGTTATAGACTGACTCTCATATCATCCTTCAGTCAAGTTATTAGGTTAAGGGACAAGCATCAGGTTAAGAAGGGCTAATGCAAGAGGAAAATTAACTTGAAATACTTACAGCAAGTTCCTGAAGAACTGGAAGCAGCATTAGTGACTGTGTAGAACACACACATGACAATAGTGAAGAGGAACATTTTGGGCTCAGATGTGGGTATATCCTTTCTTAGATCAAACCTTCCTTGATGTGGTAGAATATTGGAAGTCAGGGGTGAAAACTTGCTTGTCTTCCTTTATATAAACTGCCAGGACAGCTCTGGATCCTCCCTACCAACCTTTCACCTTCAAAGAGTCCCTTCAATTTCTAGCACTGTTGACTTTCCTTTGCTTATCTCAGTTTCCTCAACACTGGGACTGACAAGGTGATGCCAAAGAATAAAAGGCTTTTATTTTAAAAGGAAAATTGGTGGGTTGCTTATTAGTGTAACTTGGCAAGATGTTGCATACCATCTCTGAAAGAATAGCCACCTGCTAAGCAAGCATTTGTTGAGTCACATAGGTTAACGCCTAGGATGGGATAAATTTCACAGAAGAGAAGTTGTGTTGAGGAAGTTGTGACCTTCCGACCTTTCTTGCCCAGGAAAAATAGTACTGTATCTTCCTCCAGGGTTTCATGCTTAAAAACCCTAAAGAAAGGGCATTGTTAGGCTACTCTAGAGAAATAGAAGATGGCAACAGATCTTTTCCTAGGCCTTTTTGCTACCATCCACATGTCACCGTGTATGCCAAAACTGTGTCTCTTAAAAACACACTATTGCTCTAAATGATCCTACATTCAGAACAGTGGTGGTTTCCGGATTCCGTTCCAACCGGTACGGAATGGTTGGAATGGCTGCGGCGTCACCCACATGGACGCATGCAGTGCACACGCACATGCGCAAGGCATGCGCATGCATCATACTTGCCTGCGACGCTACCACAAGCTTCTGTGATGTTCCAGCTGCTCGGCAGAGCATCACGCAGGCGCCGTACATGACATGTGCATGTGCAGAAGGGCCAAAAGCTTAAAGCACATGTAATTAGCAAAGGTGGGCAGGTGGGCCCTCCAGAGCACTGTACTGGAACGGTATCTGGTGCTCCTGGCAGGCTCCAGTGTGCCCGTACCCAGACGTACTGCCTGCAACCCACCACTGATTCAGAAATAAGTTTGTTCAGGTTTTTTTAAATGCAANTATGCACAGTATATATGTGACTGTATGAAAATGAAAAATCGAAAATAAAAACACATTTTCAAAAAAAAAAAAAAGAACGTAGAAATTAAACTTAGAATAACTTTATTGTCACTTTGAATGTACACTAATCGGCATACCTTAAAATGAAATTCCATTGCATATAATATATACTACATAAACATTACAAATTGCATACATACATATATAATTATGTAAAGGTGAAGGTTCCCCTCGCACATATTTGCTAATCATTCCCAACTCTAGGGGGGGGGGGTTGCTCATCTCAAAGCCGACGAGCCAGCACTGTCCGAAAATGTCTCCATGGTCATGGTGACCGGCATGACTAAACACCAAAGGTGTAGGGAACGCTGTTACCTTCCCACCAAAGGGGGTTCCTATTTTTCAACTTGCATTTTTATATGCTTTCAAACTACTAGGTTGGCAGAAGCTGAGACAAGTAATAGGAGCTCACTCCATTATGGAGCGCTAGAGATTTGAACTGCCGAACTGCCGACCTTTCTGATCGACAAGCGCAGCATCTTAGCCACTGAGCCACCTTACATAATTATGTATATACTCACATATATTATATGACACAGAGAGACAATACAGTCTAGTCCGGGTGTATACATGTACATGGCAAGAAAAACTAATCTTGAGAGTTTACCAGACAGATGGCATAGTTGGAACAAACCTGTTACAGAATCTGGTAGACCTGCCAGAAGTACTTTGAAACCTCCTCCCAGAGGGAAGCAAAAGAAACAGAAACATGAAATGGGTGTATGGGGTCTCCAACAATGCTTTGAGCTCTAAGCACATAGCACTTATAAGCAGTGTCCTGAATAATCTTCTCAGTTGTCCTTACCACGCTTTAGCCATCTCTGACAATTCCATCAGTTTTTCCACCCAGTCCTCTATTGTGGGAAGTTTTATCTGACCTCCTCCTATTATTTTTGCTTGACCCTACCCATTTTTGAAGTGTGGCGTTGACACGACATCCCAAAGGCTAAGTACAGACCACAACCCTCTCAAAATTTGGCCAGCCTTTGCTGTGGCTTATCTGCTTTTCTTAATTCCAGCGTCTTCTCCACCCTTTGTTATATTTCTTAAAAATTAAAGAAGAAAAAAACAATAACCAATAAAAGGAGAATATTTGCAGCTCAGAGTTGAAATGAGGAGTCCTTGGTGCTCTCTGAGTTTGCTTGTTTTCTTGCAGATGTTTCATTAGTCAAACTAGGTAACATTGTCAGTGCTCACAGGTGCTGCATTGATGATGTTGCCTAGTTTGGGTAATGAAATGTCTGCACTAAGGACCCCTCAAAGAAAAATGAGTGGAGGGTGGGGTGTGGGAAATGATTGAACCAAATTATTTCATAATTAGCGAAGCACCTTTGCTGCCATAGGTATTTTCCAAGGCAAGAGAAACGTGAGTATGTATAACCCAAGCAAATGATATTGAAATGTAACTTTAAGTAAACCCCAAATGGGATAATTATTACATTAAAACTGCTCATATTGTCCACTCAACAGTTCTGCCCCTGCCCCTTTCCAAGGTGTCTGTAAAGGTAAAGGTAAAAGTTCCGCACACACATATGTGCTAATCGTTCCTGGCTCTAGAGGGAGGTTTCATCTCCATTTCAAAGCCAAAGACCCAGCGCTGTTGGAAGACGTCTCCATGGTCATGTGGGCGGCATGACTCAATGCCAAAGGTGCATGGAACACTGTTACCTTCCCACCAAAGGTGATTCCTATTTTTTACTTGCATTTTTACAAGCTTTTAAACTGCTACGTTGGCCGAAGCTGGGACAAGTATCAGGAGCTCATTCTGTTACGCCGCACTAGGGATTTGAACCGCCAAACTGCCAACCTTTCTGATTGAAAAGCTCAGTGCCTTAGCCACTGAGCCAGAGGTGGGTTCCTACCAGTTCGCACCTATTCGATAGAACTGGTTCATCAAATCTACCGAACCGGTTAGAAGAGGTTCCACCAGTTGACCCGGAAAGCAGGCCACACCTACAGAAGAGGTTCCAAAAATTTTTGAATCCTACCACTGACACACACACACACACACACAGAGACAGACAGACAGACAGACAGACACAGAGAGAGAAAGAAAGAGAAAGGAAGGAAGGAAGGAAGAAAGAAAGAAAGAAAGAAAGAAAGAAAGAAAGAAAGAAAGAGAAAAAGAGAGAGAGAGAGATGAAAGAAAAAGAGAAAAGGACAGAGACAAAAGGAAGGAGAGAGAGAGAGAGAGGGAACACATGGCTGGCAATCCACTCCCACCAGGTCACATGGCTGGCAAGCCACTCCCACAAAGGAGGCCACACCCACAGAGTAGGTTCCAAAATTTTTTGAAACCCACCACTGCACTGAGCCATCACGTCCCTTCAAGGTGTCTCTACTCCCCTGTTTTTTTTCTCCTTTACTGTTTCTGCTTTTTTGCTACTTCTCTCATTTAACCTTCATATACTCAGCAGTATTAGATTTGTTAAGTCAATATAGCTCAGTCCGTAATCCTTTTTTCCCCTCTCCCTCTTTTGTTTTACCTTCCGTGTCGCTTTCACTTCTTAGGCACCCGTCGTCTTTGTTTCCTGCATATTAAGATTGCGTCCCTTCTCGTCTGCTGTGGTTATTGTTAATGCACCTGCACTAATTAATTTCATTAATTGGATTTTTTTTTTTTTAAAAAAAGAAAGCATTCAATCTGGGCATCAATTCCAGTGTCATTTGCTCTGCGCTATTGAGGAACCATGATTCATTGATTGGAATTGGGCATTGATTTGAAACTCTTGCATATCCAAGTGAAGTGGAAATATATTTACCAGACTAGAATAGACCCAGAAGTTAGAGGTCAGTGCCCCTCCTCCTCCTGCTGCCCCATAATTAGTGGGTGCTTAAGATAAGATATTGCGAAGGTGTGTTAACTGTTGGGGAAAGAGAGTTCTGCTAAGCTTATACCTGGAGGGCTTTACATTGGTTGACTGATTAGTAGCAGATTCCACTTTCTTCTCCTTTGCCATCTTACTCCCTCCCTCCCCATCTTTTATCTAGGGCTCAGTATTTGAATCTTTATTCTATTTTATTTATATCATCTAGGCTTTGTATCGTTTTATCTTTTTAATATTGTAAGCTGCCCAGAGTTACCCTGTGGAAAGATGGATGGCCAATAAATGTTAGAAAGAAACTCAAAAGACATAAAATTGCTACACATTTCTGTGGGAGCAGAACTGAGACAATAAGCACAGGAGGAAAGTAACAGAGATAGCTAAAGACTTATCCTCCAAGTTCAACAACACAAAGCAGTACCATAAATCCAGAGAAACAGGCATAAACCATTGTGACAAGAGGGTCTAAGATCCCTAAAACCAGGAATCTGCATCATAGTGCTCCGTGCAAAAATATAGTACAGCCACCATCTGTACCAAAAAGTACAGATTCTCAATCATCCAGGTAGAGTTGTCTGGAAACTGAGTCATGGTAACCAAACTTTCCCCCCCCCCTTTTTTGGTTTGAAACATTTCATTGCTTATGTGAGACCGAAGAACCTACTTTGATGAGCAGTGAAATATTTCAAATACACAGAGGGGGGAGGCAGGGAGAGAGGAAGAAAAGAAGAAAGGAAGAAGAGAAGGAGGAGGAGGAGGAGGAGAGGAGGAGGAAGCAGAGAAGAGGAGGAGGAGGAGGAGGAGGAGGAGAGTTCCAGTTGCTATGACTCAACTAACTTCCAGATATAGCCACCATATTTCCAGCATTTTTCTGATATCAACACAAGTGTTTTCCTGACTGTAGACAATACCTGAATTCATCCTAAGGAGAAATTCCTGACTCGCTTTACTCTTAAGAAATACAATTCTGAAGACTTGCAATCCATGCCATTCAATTCATTATTATTTTCATGGACTTAAGGTGGGTGGGCGATGGAGTATCTTTGAAATTAATTACCCAGATTACAGATTCTGAAAATTTGAAAATGTTTACCAATTTGTATCTAGGCTGGGTGTAATACAAA